AAGGAAAGGTGAACCTTTGTTAGTCTTTGCAGAAAGCTTGTGATCCTCATATGAAAGCCGTGTCCAATGCGTCACTAAAACCATAGGAAATCAAGCCAAAAGAGATCTCAAGAAGTCAGTATTTGTTTTTCCTTTTTTATAAAACATTATTTTTTATGTGTTATTTTGGCAAATCTGTTGAGAAAAGCACTACAGGTTCTGAATTATCCAGACAGCAGTCTTTTACTTTTTTTTTTCCTCAACAAATGTCTTTCCCTGTTGACTGCAAAATGTTTGTGCTCTTATTTCTGATGGCAAAGAAGGCCCCTCACAGCCTGGACTGCTTGTTCCCATAGAAGACTGTTGGACATTTGTAGTAAAACTGCATTTTTTTTAAGCCCTACCTGGTAGCGTGCGCAGCTCACATGTTCTTTAGATAAAGCAGTGGCAGGCCGGTACCTGTGAGATGGTACAGGGGTTGTAGAGGGGCTTCTTGGAGGGTCTTCCCAGACAGTCCTGCTGCAGCACCCTAGCCGCAAGTGGAAACAGAAGATATCCTTTAACTGCTTTCTCAAGGGCTTTACGAATAGTTTTTGTTATAGGGAACTGCAAATGAAATCCAATTCAGCGGCATGGAGTCTGGTTTCTTTCCTTCTGCCTTTTTTTTTTCAGTGATCACGTATGTAGGCTGAAGTATTTGGAACAGAAAAAACCTATTTGACTCTTCCTAATTCTCCTTTTTGGCTCAGAAAGAGTTGCTGCTGTGAGCAGTGTCAAAACGGCTCCTTTGCATGCTGTACAAACCCATACCTGCAGTCTGTACTTCTGCTGAAGTACAGATTTATCTGTGGAGATAATCAAAAGCCTGCATCATCCTCAAAAAATGCCTGTTTCTGATGCCTCCATCCCTGATTCCTGGGATTTTCAGCAAAGGGACATCCCCTTTAAACCTGTGTTTCTGCTTCATATCTTCTCTCTTTGAAGCCAGAGGGTTGGCTGGCCTTTGAATAGGCAAGGATGAGAGTAGAGCAGTGGGAGGTCCGTGTCTTGCTCGTATACCTTGGCCAGAAAATCAGCTCCGACATGTGGGGACAGGTAGCAGCGTCGTTCTCCTTATCAAACGGCGCTGTGGAGCA